ATTACATTTTTGTGCCTATGTGGCAATGCCACTTGGCCTTCTTGCTCTTGATTAATTCCACACTGTCCTACCTGGATTGGAGAACCATAGCTTGCAAATGACTTAGGTACTGTACGGCTGCCCCTGAGTCACTAGCATTTGGTGGACTTTAGTCTTGACCTGCAGACAGCAGAAATCTAACATGTTTCTGCCATAAGGAGTCCTGGATGGTTTTCCAGAATTTTTTTGTGAATCCAAAATTGAATTCAGCAGACATTTATTAAACACCTGCTCTTCATGTGAGGCAATGAGGATTGATAGAAGTCTTAGAGTCTGCTTTGTGGAGCACAGTCATTTGGGAGGATCAGAAAACATAAATCACAGGATAAACTACAGACTGTGATGCAGGATGTCAGAGAATCATAGCAATGTGGTTATGTTGGAGGGGGCTCCTCCTGATTGAGGGAGTTCTGGAAAAGCTTTGGAGCTTTTAGCTTTTTATCTTCGAGATTTTGCAGTGAAGAAGGTTGGGGGTGGGAGGAAGAACAGGGTGGGGACATTCTTTCTGGGCAGAGGTATCAGATGTGTGCATGGCCACACATGTGGGCTTGTGTATCTTTGGTTGCATGTGTGCATACCTGTTTGGGTACATATGTGCTTATGTGAGCATGCTTGTATGTGCATGTGTAATGGAATATAATACTGCATAGATAGTGGGACTGAATTATTAGAATGCCAGTAGGAAAGGGAGCTGCAATGGATCCCATCTAAGATGAACATACAATTGATCTTCTTCTGTGAGTAACTCTTGTGTATGTCAGAGGGTGTGTGGTGATTTGTGGGTGAAAACTGGGCAGGAGCTCAGTCATTGGGAACAGAGAAGGACATGCATGGTGCTGGATGTTGAATAATCTTTGACATGGCATTACCAGTGGGTGGGAGGGAATGAAATTAAGAATTATCAAAAATACAACAACAAAGTTGGAAAAAAATCAATTCAGTAATAGGAATGGAGAAAGGGAAGCCCAAAATACCCTTACTGTTACCCAAGGGGCTAGTGAGCGGTACGTCATAAATAAGCAGAGGGAACCCAGTGGGAATAGGGGGTTGGGAGGGCACAGTGGTTGATGTCCATACGAGTCTTCAGTCTGAGAGGTGGCACTGTCCAGCAGTCCTCTGGAGAAGCCGTCTGGGGCTCAAGAATGGCAGGACCAAAGCACTGTTTCTGGAGAGAAGCAGTGACCAGAAGCAGTAAGCGGAAGGGTAGCATTTCTCAGGAGGAGCAAGTACAGGATAGGGAATGTGGAGTGAGAAGGGAAGAGGAGTAGAACAGCCCCAGAAGTCAGAGCAAACCTTGCCGTGATTACTTCTCTTGCAAAAACAGGCTGGGCCGGTGAAGGGGAGCTATGTCCAGTCTCTACTAGCTCATCAGAAAAGTACTTGTAACCTCAAGGCAGGGCGCTCAGTGGAGGAAGGCAGAGTCCAGGTGGCTGGCGTCCTTGTCAGACCACCCACCCACGCGCCTTTTCTTACTTCTTCAAGAAAGAGCACACTGGAACACTTATGCTAGGTTCAACTTACTACCCCTAGGATTCTTTATGCATCTACCTCTACAGGCAGAAATGTCAAGTTCAGGTCCTCCCCAGAGTGGGGCCCTGTACTAAATCTGTGCTTCTCAAACTTGGGGGCCACTAGTTAAGCCTTGGTTTTTAGATATGAAAAGCTTGACTGGTTTTAATTCTTATTTTTTAACTGATGCTAGATGCATAACCACACACCCTGGTTTTCTACCCTTCATATTCTGTTCTTTCCTTCAAAACCTTATCAATGACGTTTTCTTTAACCTTTTTGGTTCACCTACTGGCTTCCTATGATGATATTATGTGGTTAAAGACTAATCAAAGATTCTGGACCCTGGTTATAATTGGTCAGCTTCCACAGAGATGGCCCTGTCTTACTTCCTTGGTGCTCTTTAATACTAGATACATAACTGTGGCAGGGTGCAGTGATATTTGGTAGAAGATGGTGGATCCTGTGGTGGTAGATGTGCTGTGGTCACAGATATGTGATTAAGTGTGAACCTGTATCCCTAAATCACATATAGTGTGGTAACTAATGTTATCTCAATAAAATTAATACAATTTAAAAAAATCCTGGATGCCAGTCTGGGCAGGAAACTGGAGGAGTTCTCCTCTACCACCTTAGCCCTCACAGAAGGGCTCTACAGCGGCATGACCTTTGAGTTAAAACAAGGGCAGAGGTCCTCCTGGTGGCGCAGCGGGTTAAAGCACAGCACTGAGAAGCTAAAGCCACTTCTGCATGAGTTCAATTCCCGCCTGCCCCGGAGGTGACCACATGGCGTGGCAGACCTCTCCACTGCTCCCCTCAGCAGTGTACTTCGTCGCTCTGCCTGTTCTGCTCCCCGCTCTGTCTCTGGTGAAACCTCTCACAGCCCCTGAGCCTCTGGCCTGTACCCCAGTTTTGTATGAACAAATAAATAAATCTTAAAAAAAAAAACCACAAAAACAAACAAACAAACAAAAAACCAAGGACAGAGGCCCCCTGGGTGGTGCAACGGGTTAAAGCACAGCACTACGAAGCTACCGCAGTCACTGTGACACGAGTTTGATGCCTGGCCAGGGAGCTGACCCACATGGCCCAGCAGACCTCTCCTGTCTCTCCTGCTGCTGCCCTCAGCAGTGTATTTCAGTAGCTCTGTCTGTACTATTCCCCACTCCGTCTCTGGTGAATCCTCTCACCCTCACTCCTCTGGCCTGTACCCCAGTTCTTGTATGCATAAATAAATAAATAAATAAATAAATAAATAAATAAATAAATAAATAAATAAATCAATCTTTAAACAATAATAAAAGAAAGGGCAGAGCAGGCTGGAAGTGTCAAGTTGGTATCTGACACCAGCTGTGCACTTACAAAAGGCTTCTCTGTTCTCCCCTTTGCGAAATGGGGATGATAAAGATGTTGGCCTTGTAAGTGTGGAAAGAGTTAAATAAGATAACTCAAAGGCAGTGCAAGGGAGCTAGGTCCTTGGAATCCAGGGTTGATCCATCTTTTCAGATAAACATTCCTGGATGTGCTCACCCAAGGCCTTTATTTCATTGGTTCTCCTGTGTACCTGTTCCTTATAATCCAGTTGACCAGGAAAATGTCCAGAGGTAAAGGATTCTCTTATGTTTGAATTTCAACCATGTCCCCCTCTTCCCCACTATTGATGGGATCCCAGACAGGGCTCATGAGGAATGGAAAGCATTTTTCCCCACCTCATTTTATAGCTCTAAGTTCCCTTCAGCGAACAGAGGGCCACTGTGGACATTGTCAGAGAGAGACAGTGAGTCACTGGGGAAGCAGCCACAGATTTTTTATTTCATCTTATCATCAGGCAATGTGTGGTTGCGGCAGAAACCATTCACGTTGAGGACACAGGTTCTGCACCAATCAGTCTGCCAGGAAATATCGGGTGCCGTTGTGACGTTAGGGGAGAATCTCTGCTCTCAAAGTCTGAGCACAAGTTCCGGTCCGTGTGTCATGTCTTTGAAAAAGCTGCTTCTTTTCTAGTCTTGGTTTTCTCGTCTGTAACACAGGAGTGATGATTAAACCCTCTTGAGTATGGCTTGGGATCATTGAGTGACAATATATGAAAGTGCTTTCTACGTAGTAAAAGGTTGAACAAATAGCATCTAGTGTCTTTAGTATAAAGCCGTCACTTTCCAGATGGATCTCTGCTGCTCTAGTGAATGCTGCCGTTTGGGTTTCGGAAATGACTTGCGGAGAAGCTCCATTTGGAGCCTCTTCCAGTGTGAAAACAGGCCTAGAGATCTAGTTGGAAGGGGAAGCTTTGTCCCGGGGAAGTGGTCTGCAGACTTTGGCACACATCCGAATCACCTGGAAGGTGATCCTAGAGTTTCTGGTTCTGCAGTCTGGGGGTGGGGCCTGAGAATTTGCATTTCTAACACATTCCAAGGTGATGTTGATGCTGCTGGCCCAGGTACTCCACTTGCACGGAGAACTCCTTTACTATGGTAAGCAGGCAGAGAGTCCTCCTTCTGGAACAGAAACGGTCAGCGTGAAGGTTCACGTGGGTAAGGCGGATTGGAAGAAAAAGGCAGGAGATAGAAAAAATAGGGATGATGTGCAGATGAGGCAGAACAAAGGGAAAAGTCTCACTCGTAACAAATGCAAGTGGGGGAAGTTGCTAGGTGATAGATGAGGGAGAGAGGTGAATTTCTACTGTAGGAAAAACCAGGTGAGAGGCAGGAGAAGAGTTGGAATGTGCATGTTTGAGGAGGCAGAGAAGGTGGAAATTTCTCATTAAGAAGTGAGCAGCAGTGTGGTTGTTGCTGGGGGTGGGGTAGAAAGGTAGAAGGGCTGGAGGGGGAATTGCCTCAGTGGCTTTAGGGGGACTGCTGAGATGTGGCAGAGGGGGTAATTTCAGGTCTGTGAGGTTTGGCTTGGTAGTGCTACACAATAGAAATTGGGAGAAAGGGGGTGGAATTTAGATGTGTGACCTGCCCCGTAGCTTTCTTGCTCTCTGCATTTATCATATCACATCACACCCAGCAAGACAGTCCCCCTCCTCCTGGCTCATTAGGAGATTTGATTCTGCTTGGTTCCTGCTGTCAAGCAGCTGTCTGGGGCAAGATCTTTATGCTCCCTGCTCGAAGCAGGGACCAGCCTTCGGTCAACAGTGCTGGAGCTCATTAGAGGAGGGCCCCCTGGACTCTTGATTTCAGCTCGCTGGGGGCTGGAAAGAGTTAATACCTGTGCCTTCACTGCCCCCTGCACAGCCTCAGGGTGCAAAGGGAGGCAGCTCTGGGCTGTGGGGACTTCTCCCTGAGCTGCAGCCAGAAGAGCTGGAAGCAGGTTAGTGAGACTGGGGAGGAAGGTGCAGGAGGAGTTCCTGGCTAGCTCCGCTCAGGGGCACCTCCTGCATCCTGCCAATGAGGATGGGTGTGCAGACTGTGCCCGGGAGCTGAGCAGCCGCCTGCTGGGTGTAGCTGCTTTAGTATTTACTGGATGTGGCAAGCAGAGAAAGGAGCTTTCAGCGGGGCTGCCTGCTGCCGGGCTCAAGTGGTAGGAGGTGTGTTGTGCGTGCATGCATGCATGTGTGTGTGTGTGCGAGCGTGTGCCTGTGAGTTATGCACATATGCCCTTCACCACCAAGGATTTGACTGCTAAGAGAAAGATCTTCTCTTTCCCCAGAGCTCCTTAGCCCACAGCGTTTCTGACCACCCAGTTGGCAACGACCAGCAGGCCATGAGGACTGGTCAAAGACAGTGAGTATCGCTTTTGCTTTTTTCATTTCTCTCCACGGTGCCTGTGGGGGCTGATTGCATTATTCATATTTAATTAACCTGCCTTCTATGCATATTGATTAATTTCTCCGCTGAAGCTCCTGGTTTCTCTTCCCCCTTTTATAAATCTTTGCTCTTTGCTTTTAACCTTTATTTTTCCCTTGAGTACCCTTTTTCCATTTTGTTCCATCCTGCTTGCCCCAGAGTCCCCTGTAACTTGATGTCCACCTAAGACGATATGTGTACTGTGGGTGTAATCACACTCTTGGCCTTCCTGGACTCTGGGTTACCCCTAACGCTGGTCCCCCCAGAAGTCAAAGGCAAAATGGACTAAGCGTCCCAGTGTGCTGGGGAGTATGAGATAGTGGGGTCAGAGGGTCCCGCTGGATCTTATGGATTTGATCCTGAGATTTAGCTACATGGAGGGACGGTGACAGGTCTGAGGGTGATGGTGGGCAGTGATGGATTTGGAAGAGCGAGGTGGGTATTTAAATGGCTCGGGAAGCTGGTGTGGGCTAGCAGTGAGAACGCAGGATCAGCAAGGAAGTGACGGGATATCTGGTAGCACCTGTCCCAGATGACCTTGCTTGCGCCAGTGTGGGTAGTCATCCCTGGTTCCGCTCAGCTGCAGGCTAATGAGGTCCCTGGTTTGGGCTTCCCTCTCCTGGGGCTCCGTCCCACAAGCAGGAGAAATGAGCCGTAGGCGCTCCCAAATATTGATTTCCAGAGACTCAAAGCAGCTGTAAAGGGTTTCCTGACTTTTGGGCGAGCCGGAATAAATATAGTTAGGTAAAAGATTAAAAAAAAATGTCTCTGTTCTCAGGAATAAAAATCCAATTTCCTGGGATTGAGCCTTTCCAGAATCAAAATGAAATTTTGAAAAAATGTAACAAAGCAAACTTTTTATTTTATTCATTATGTAATGCCAGAGAAGTTATTTTTAAAAGTATTTATGAAATGTTCCAGGCAATAGCAAAATAATATAAATTAGGTTTCTGTTAAAACAGATTCTATGTTTGGTGTCAAGAGTTCCCTGGGGGAAACTTTGCGGTTGGGCTGCTCCCCAACACTTCCCTTCAGTTCTCTTCTATGGGAACAAAAGGTTTGAAGCATTAAGAATGGGGTCCTCCATCAGCCCCCAGCCTCAATGCCTTCCCTGTGTCCTCCTGGCCTTGGGTCAGGAATGGGCCCGTCTTTGTGTTGAGGGGGAAGGGGGTGGTCAGGCAGCATCTCCATGGGCAAGGAAGAGGGGCTTACATATTTATTTATTTGAACTGGGATTGTGAGCCCTGTGAAAAGGGCCAGCCTGTGGGGTGACAGTGCCTCACAAACCTCCCTTGGAGTTTCTCCAACTTTATTCTCACTCACACCCTCCCAAGGCTGTGCCTTCCCACCTCCCAACCATTTTGCCTCTAGAGGGGTGTGACTCAGAACAGTCAAACAACCCAATGACTTTGGAACAAGTGCTGGCTCCCCTCCCCCATGCTTGGCTGACGTCACTTGGGTCCTCTCAAGTAAGACACAGAGAACAGTAATTTTTGGTTTGCCGGGCCCGGGCTTCCCTCTCATGGGATACATGACCTACTTAACTGCTGATGCCTGGTGGTTGGGGACACAGAACTTCAAACCATCAGGTGGTGATGAAAGGTCACCCAACAATTTGTTCTTGTCCATCCTGGGTTGGTTGTCCTTGCTCACAGGAAACTGATTTTTGTGTGTGTGTGTGGGGGGGGGTTGGAGTACGTGGGGAGGAGGTGTTCCACTGGGAAAAAGTCCTGTGACAGTATTTGTAGCACAGTGAGATAAGAGGGTGGCCCCTCTTACAGCAGATTCTTTGATTTTAGGTGAGAGGACGCGAAAGGGTAAATCCCTGTGCCCCGCAGTCTAACCTCCTGCCCTGCCGTCCCTGCAAACCAGCCAGAGGGGTAACCGTAAGCGGGGGCCTGTATGGCCGCTTTACTGATGCCACGCAGGTAACTAATGCTAACCTATCTTCTTGCATTGCCCTGTCCTCGCTCTCTTCTTCCTGCCTACCCTGCTGATGCCCCGGCCTTCGATTCCCGGGAGCAATCCCCCATCCCCGCCTCCCTGAGTGGACTGTGGTATGTTTCTCAGGGTGCTTCTTGCAGAGTTGTGACCTTGTGCTGTCCACTCAGCTGACTTGGGGAGCTCGTGAATTAGAGCTGTGCATGTGCTGCTGATGAACCCTTGAGAGACTTCACTGAGTTATGGGACAAGGACAAAAGATGGGGCAAGCTGTTTGTTTTTATTTTAAGTCCCATAACCCTTAACTCTTGCTTCTGCTCCCCTGATTTAAGACCTAATTATCCAGCTAGATCAGATGAAAAATTAAAACATTTTGTGCCAAAGAATATTTTGTAGAACAATTTTGCCAATGCTTTAAGCGTCCTTTGCAAGACACATCACAGGTGTCTTGGTCACAAGTAGCACCTTTACATGGGCCCCTGCAAAACCTTGCAAGCTGGCTGATGTGATGGGCCATTTTTTGAAACCTCCCTAATTGCTCATAGGAGGCATTGACCTGACTGTTCTATGAGTGATGATGCTGGACCTCGGAGAGATGAACTTCCTCGGAGAGATGAAGTTCTGGTCTGGGTACATCCCGAGCAGGACCTGTGCTTGAATTCCAGGGATGTGATGACTCAAGGGTCCTTCATTAGTTGCTTGTGTGACCTCATGTCAGAGCCCCCTGTGATCTGTGAGTGGACTTAGATGTCCGCTGTGGCAGGGGACAGAACACTGGGCCTTAAGTTTTGAATTGCCACAAGATTGGTGGCCTTCCATTGCACCCAGCTGAGATGAGAGGTGAGAGTAGAGAAATGCAAGCCCAGTTTTCTGCAGAAGAAAGGCTATTTCTGGGAACTTGGATGTTCCAGCCTTAAAAGGCCTCTTAGAGATGGGCTATGGAGTACAAATATTGTGCATTGCTGCCAAATATAATGCCATCTCCAGTGAACGTTAGGTGGATAAGATTTCTGTGAACAAAGACCAGAGTCAGGGATGAAAACCCTCTGGAGAGGAAGAGATGGACTTGGATGACCTCTAACATCTCTGTCCAGGTCCAGGAAATGTGAAAAAATGGAAGGAAAGCCAGGCGGCTGTAAGAACTTCCATTCACCCTGGGGAATGACATCTTCTAGGACTATTTCTGTGGCAAATTATTACCAATATGCAGGTAGCAGTCCCCTTTGATGTCACCCTGAAATCCTGAGGGGTTTATTCCAAAGCCTTCCCACTTACTTTTGACTCCCATGAGGAGTTGCTATGGTTAAATGTCAGGGGTCAGTAAATTCATTCTGCTAAGGACCAGGGAGTAAATATTTTTGGCTTCTTGGGCCATATGGTCCATGTTGGAACTGCCCAACTCTGCTTGGTGCGCAAAAGCAGTTTTAGACATTATGTGAACAAATGGGTGCTCCTGTGTTCCAATAAAACTTTATTTATACAAACAGGTAGCCTTTGGGGCTGGCATTTGTCAATCTTTGATTAAAGATAAAATCTTTGTCAATCTTTGATGAAAGGAGTTAATATTGGGAGCCAGAAAGGGACATTAGCATAAGTGTTCACTGGATCTGCCACAACAGATAACTATTTAAGTGTCAAGGCCTTAGGAAAAAGAGAATTTGAACAGGCATGTTAAAATTTTAATCATGGGGGGCCCTCCCTGGTGGCGCAACAGGTTAGGACATAGCACTGCAAGCTGGCCACGGTCGCTTCAGTGCAAGTTCGATCCCCAGCCCCAGACGCGATCCACAGGGTGTGGCAGACCTCTCCTGGCCCACCCGCTGCTCCCCTCAACAGTGTACCCTGTCAATCTGCCTGCTCTGCTCCCTGCTCTGTCTCTTGTGAAGCCTCTCACCGCCCCTGCACCTCTGGCCTATACCCCAATTCTGTAAGCATAAATAATAAATAAATCTTTTAAAAAATTTAAGCATGCGTAAGAATAGAAGAGCTTTGCTCAGTGAGTAAAAGAGCTGATAAAGGGGACAGTGGCACTTTCTGGCTGTGCCCGTTGTTCTTCTCACCTGCAGACGCCATTCTTGTTGGTCCAGTCATTCACATAGGGTGTCAAGATTGGGGATGAGCCTGCAGAACCTGTAACAGAGTCGACCTACCATGAAACCCCCATATTTCATGTTCTGGGACTCCATGATACCCCCGGGGCATGCAAGTTCCCTCTGCTCTCTGTGTGGGACTACTTTTGGGGCTTTGCAATCAGGAGCTGTTGCCAAGGCTGCCATCTTACCCTCCAAGCAGGGGAGCAAGATGTGGATTGTTATTTTGTCATCTCTGTGTTTCCTTTCCCTACAGAGAATCCTAATTTAGAATGCTTCCCAGCTAATGACCTTCATTGACTTACCATCAACGTGTCAGCTTTAAAAAGCACTGAGCCTCTAGGGTAGGGTACCTACAGCTTATTCTGCTAGTCAGAAAGAGGGAGTGAGTCTGTCCCCTGGTCTTCTAGGTGTTTCTCCTCTTGGTCCTGAGGAGACTCTGGGGTGATGGGAGGAAGATACTGACTCCTGCAGCAGCAGCTCCAGGGACCCTTTCTAGAGCTGACAGCTGTTAGCATGACAGTCCCTGTCCTACCCCGTGCTTGTTGCAGGAACAAAGGGATGAGGACACGACTGGGATGCCTCTCTCACAAGTCAGACTCCTGTAGTGATTTCACGGCGATTCTTCCTGACAAACCCAACCGGGCTCTAAAGTGAGTAGTATGGACACATGACATTTCAGAGTGTCCCCCACGGAGTACCTTCCAGGGGTTACCTACCCCCTTTCCCTAGTGAATTATTGACTCACAACAGTAAATCCCAGCTCTTGACAGCTTCCTTTCTGTCTCTGGACATGAATGAAAGCGTGCTTATTTTCCTCTTCAGATGTATGACTTAATTCCTTTTATATTTAAGTAAACTATATTTTCCACCACTCTTAGCTTCCACGCTGGGTACTTATTGGTTCTATTTACTTGTCATTCTGTGCTCTCTATTTGGAAGCACTCTCAAAGCTACTCTAAAAACCTGCTGAAATGCAGGTAGGCGGGACTCAGGGCCCATAGAGTGTAGGTACTGTGGTAAGTGGTGTGCCAGATGTTACCTCATTGGCCTCTCTCACAGCTCTGTGGTGAGCAGTGCATCATTATCCCCGTCTCAGAAGTGAAGAAATTATGGGACAATAACGGAGGTATCAGAAGCTGAGCTTCATGCTTCCAACTCCGAGACCAGTTGCTTTCCATTGTTCTCAAGACATACTGACATCAATGTGCTCACTTGGCTCTGTTTTTTGAGACAGCAAGCCAGCCAATATCCTAAATTCACCGGCTTCCAATCTGGAATTTTTTGGTTCAGTTACTCAAGAATGTACCTGTTTATCCAGTCAGGATTGCAAGATTCTGGGTGTGGTCTTGCTGGCCCCCTTTGCCCTGTTTCCCTAAGCCATGTCAGCGATGGCTGCAGGAGAGGTCCAATCAGAAATGCTCAAGATGGATGTTTCTTCTTTCTCAGGAGGCTCTCCACAGAAGAAGCTACGAGGTGGGCAGACTCCTTTGATGTGCTTCTTTCCCATAAGTGTAAGTAGAATTCGCGTTGCATCATGTTGCAGCAAAGCAGCCATTTAGTAAAAGATGCACCAAATTTACTTGGCCCAGGTCTGGTGCTGTGGTCCCAGTGAGCTCCAGGCCCGGCCCTCACAGATCTTCTGCTCAGAGGGGTACAGAGGTAGGAGCGCATCATTGAAATGTGGTGGGAAGAGAGCACCTCTCTTCAGTTTTCTTGGTTGAAAGTACTGTCCTGGAGAGTATTCATGGTCTCAGCAGTTGTAACAAGAGAGAATTTAGCTCGGGGAGTTGGTGTGATGGGCTTAGTAGGAAGCAGACAGTCTAGGTTCCAGCCCAGATCTGCTTTATAAAATTAAATGATCTTCCCATCCCCACTGCCAAGTCATGGAGAGTCTTGGGCTAGTCACCAGTCGAATGAGTATTCTGTGATTTTTGTCATTCACTGAAGTTTAGCAGAGTTTTGAATTTTATCATTGCCTTTTATTTGGAGGTTTTACAGACACCCCCCCCCCCAGCAGCTGTTTTACGTGCCTCAATTTCTAACTGAGTGCAAGTTTTATTGGGACACAACTTCTCTTATCTCTCTTCTTCCCTTTTCTCTCCTCCTTATCAAAACTACCTCTTGTTTCCCACAAAGGCAGAAATAGTCATGCATATTGAGGTGTAGGAAAGGCACTTGGATGTTGATCCAACATTTCCATTCTTGTGTGTTTTGCATCACAGGCAAGTCCAAATTCATTGGGCTTTGAAATTGCAGTGGCACGAAATATGTGGGACAGGAAAGCAGGAACCAGAAAGAGAAGAGGAATTCTGAAAAGGGAGGTTTCACACAGATATTCCCTGTTCTACTTGTTCTGTTTAATTTGTCAATATTAGAAGTTCTAATTGATCTGGAAGCTGAAGGACTGATTTTAGTTCAGACTTTGTTCCCACTTAACCCAGGAATGATTTTGTACGATGAAGCAAAGACCTTGGCAGGTGGTCAGATCCCACGTGGTCTCAATTTTGACCCGCTCTGCTACTTGGTAGCTGAATGGCCTTGATGGGTCACTTGCTTTTCAGATGATGTCTTTAGGAATGCTTCTATTTTCCACTGAAAGAGCAGTTCCCTCCGTGCTGACTGTCCCAAAGCCCCCAAAAACTAACAAATGCTTTTGAATAGATTTTAGAAATGATATGCAGAATTTAAGAATGAGCACATATTGTAGCAAGTAATTTTGTGAGGCAAATAGTCATTTTAGTGTTGTATGGATCACACTTAGGAAGGAAGACAAGGCAGCATAGATCCAGCATGAACAACATATGGCGAAACCCCCAACAGCAAGCCGATGTGCGGCTTTGCCAAGGTAATGGCATATGCACCATAATACTTGGGATTTGACAGCAAAGCTTATGTTTTTAAATGAAGCTATTCTGCCTTATTTTTCTGGAGTCACATTAGGCTAAATAAGTGTCACTATCAATTTACACCTTCTTCTCTGGCTGGATTTAATTCAAGGTCATCTTGAAGTGTGGTTTCTATTTCAGCCTTTTGGTGACTCACTTAATTCAAGTCCCTAAGGCTATTTCCTCATTCTAAAATGGGGATAGAAACACCAGTGTGCTATCACCTGGGTGCTGAATAAAGGAATACCTTTAGATGGTTTTGGGTTCTGTATTCAAAGGTATTTTATAAGAATATATTGGTATTTTTTTAAGGATGCTTTTGGGCTATCAAATGCAAAAATGTATGTGTCCTAAGCATAACCTGCAAATTTTACTGCCAATTATTAATGTTAAACCACTAGAGAGATAGTGGTAAAATGAGTGGATGGAAGCATAGGCATAAGATTGCTGTCAGGTGAGACCCTGCAATGTTGAGGCTTAATTCATTTGTTTGATTCAATGACTTTTAAACCTGAAGGTAGTTGCTTCTGCTTCTCTGGGGGATGCTCAGGGTTTCCAGGAATGCAGTAACACTTTGCTGAGCTGGGGTTGTACTAAGAGGTTACAAGCTGACACCAGATTGCTGGCTTGTAAAACCATTCCAGAAACAGACTTTTTGAACTTTGAAGTGCTGTGATCCTCCTTGGCATCTGATGTTCTGTTTTTATTCCTGTTTAGTAGAGAAAAATGTCTGTTAGTACAGAAATAAAAAAACTGATGAAGTGGATGTCTGTGAGAAAGAAAGGGGTCTTTCTTCAGGGATCACTGGCAGAATTTCAAGTTTCCGAACTTGAACTCTTACTCTCCGTGAAGGTTTTGGAGGAGGAGAGCTCTGGTTACCTTGAAGGGTGTTGACAAGTTTCTCAAAGTCTAATTAATTTGGGTTAGTATCATGACTCAATTAGGGCTGATTAAGCGTTTCCAAAGGGATTGCGCATGTGCTGGTCCCTTGGGAGAAGCAGCAGTTGATCAGAGGCGTGCAATTAAGACAACAAAAATGTCCTAAAAAGCAGAGAGAATTGCTGAGTGACTGGACTCCAGAATAATGCATCTGCATCTAGAACCTACTTCCTGGAAACTCTCCTCACCCAGGCAGCCACCCTCCCTAACTTATCCAATTCTGAAATATCAAGTTACTATTTACATTCTCATTCTCAGTCTACAGAGCTTCTTTACCATCCCTATCCTGTGAGGTATTTTGCACACTCATTTATTTTAAAAAGGATGAATTGAGTGTTCATTATGTACACAATCTAGGTTCAAGAGCTGATGGCGGTGGGATGATGTGGAGACAGAGATATCCTGGGCAAACACAAATAACACCAGAGATGGGGCAGCGTGCTGACTGCCTCAAGATTCCCAATAGAATCCTGCCTTTAGTGTCCCTCTTAAATTTCATCTTGCCCATATAAGGAGTCCTCACTCATTTTGTTACAGGCCCAGGGAGAAGGACACCCCTGAACCCCCAAACCTGCCTGCTCTAAATAGGTTCTAAATAGATCTGCCACATCAAGACAAAACATATAAGACCTTTAAAAGAAAGGAACTTTAAAAAAATAGTGTGCAATAAAGAAAAGACAAAGAATATAGTTTCTAAATCAAACACCTGAAGAAAAGACAAAGAATACAGTTTCTAAATCAAACACCATCCCCTTATAGCTTAAAGTCCACCCAAAAGGGAATGGCCCAAAGCAAGGCCTGAGAGCCTGCCATAAGTCTAAAGCACATTCTGGCCGGGACCCATAGGAAAGAGACAGAAATGGCCAGACAAGTCTGGGAGGAAAAGAATAAAACGAAAATTAAGATCAATGCTGTCACAGTCAACTCCCAATAGGTCTCTCACCCACATCTGTTTCACACAGTTCAGGGTTAAGAAACAAGAGCCGCTTCTTTACATGTTTCTCTGCTCCATGTACCTCCCCTTTTCCTAGGGACCACCCTGTTACAATTTGGGGAGCAGAAGAGCAGCTTTAGTTTAAAACTCTGTTTCAGGCCCTCCCTGGTGGTGCAACATGTTAAAGCACAGCACTCTGAGCTACCTGCAGTGACTGCAGAACAAGTTTGATCCCTGGCCAGTGAGCTGGCCCACATGGCGCAGCAGCCTCTCCTGTCCTACCTCCTGCTCCCCTCAGCAGTGTATTTCAATCTGCCTGTTCTGCTCCCCACTCTGTCTCTGGTGAATCCCCTCACCTCCGCACCTCTAGCCTGTATACCAGTTCTGTGTGCATAAGTAAATAAATCTTAAAAAAATAAAATAGAGCTTTGTTTCTACTCCATCGGGAAAGATGCTTATGTGCATCTGAATGGCGTACATGAACTGTTATGGGACCTGGAATTGAACGGACTCAGCTACTTCATAGCCCAGTGGCCATAAGAGAATCCTTCAGTCCCATGGGAAAGCTGTTTCCATCACTCTGCGATGAAGAACCCGGAGTAGGGTGTCTCAGAGGCTGGATCCAGTTCTGCCCCCTCATTCTAGGGTGCTGTCTGTAGCACCCACCCACTGAGGCTTGGCAACAACCAATCACCTGCAGCAGGTGGACTGAGTCAGCCTGGCTGGCGGCATTATGTAAACGTGCTATGAGGCGGAGATGGCTCCAGCCAGCAGATAAGGGTTCAGACGCCTGGGTTACAGCCGCTTCTCTCCTCAGCAGGCCCTGGGTACAGCAAGCCCCTCACAGGCTTAAATTTCAAACACACAAAAAGCAGTTTGGTTGTTTTTTAAACTTTAGAATAAAAAGGAACCTGGAAAGCAAATACTGGAGCCTTTTTATTCTCTATCACATTTGCTGCAATACAGCACAAAGCTGAAGAAGTACCCTTTGAGGTTTGAGGTTTGGGAGGTAATACTTCCTAACTGCTTTTTTTTTTTTTAACTAACAAATGAAAAATGAAATTGAAACTGCAGATGGCTTCATTAGATGGGGAAAATTTTTTGCTGTGCATTAATTTGCCATCTTTTTCTTGTTGTTCTGGTAACAATTAGATTTGGTGTCTGTGAGCTGTGCATGTTGTCTGCCCCTGGGGTGTGTGTGAGTCCATCCAGAAACCTTTCTGTCTCTCAGCTCATAACCAGGAGAGTGAAGCCTCTCAGTTTGTGGGGGAATTTTTTTTTTTTTCCTGCAAGATGACTGAAAGGCAGGGTGGATTTTCTGCTTTGATTCTCATGGTTCTGGTAGATACTTGTTATTTGTCTAGGTTTTACTTTTTATTTTTTAAAGATTTATTTATTTATGCATACAGAACTGGGGTGCAGGCCAGAGATGCAGGAGCAGTAAGAGGATTCACCAGAGACAGAGTGGGGAGCAGAACAGGTAGATCGTCAAAGTACACTGCTGAGGGGAGCAGCGGCTGGGTCAGGAGAGGTCTGCCGTGCCATGTGGATCTCCTCCGGGGCCAGGATCCAACTCGCACTGAAGCGACTTCCGCTTGCCGTGTTGCACTTTAACCTGTTATGCCACGAGGGAGGACCCTTGCCTAGCTTTTAGTGGGGTATTCAGTTCTTTACTCCAAATCTATTCTCCTTTCTCCTGCTTCTTTCTCCCTCGCTCCTCTCTTCCATCCTCCTTTGCTATATTGACATAAAA